CTAACTTTTCACCTATTTTGCAAGTTTTTTCAAAGACTTTCGGTAATATTTGGTCTCCAACTTTTAACTTTTTCTTTTAACGTTGAAATTATAGTATCAGGTTGTTGCTTGTTGATAGTTCTGGATACAGATTAGTGCATGATCTAGTTTTTCCTCTTTGAGGTATAATCTATCTTCCAGTAGTTACTAGTTGAGTTCTATATGTATTGAGCACAATTTCCTTTAAATAATTGGTCCTCTGATTTTGGTGGAGATCACTGCTTCCATTCCATATGCTAGTGCGAATGAGGTTTCTTTGGTTACCATGTGAGGTGTGGTATGGCAAGCCCAGAGGACGATGTTTAGTTTGTATGACCATGTCTATTTTCTAGTGTCGAGCGTCTTTTTGATTTTGTCCATTACTGTTTTGTTCGTTGCTTCTACTTGACCATTTCCTTATGGGTATTTTGGGGTGAAAAATGTTAGACGTATTTTTCAGGTTTTGCAGAAACTTCTAAACAATTTGGATATGAACTAGGGTTCGTTCTCCATCATCATTTAACGGGGGAGATCGTGGCGGCAGATGATGTCTATTGAGGTAAAAAATTTTACTTCGACCTTGGTTGTTTACTGGTCGGCTCTTGCCTATACCTACTTGGTGAAATATTCAATTAAGACTAAGGCAAATCTTAATCGTTTGAGTCCAAAGGGGACCATTGGTCCCACAATATCCATTGGCCGTCTCATGAATGGGTATGGAGCAGAGATTGATGAGAGTTTCTCAATTGGTTGGTGTATTATTGGTGATGGGGTCTTGCTCACGATGAAAATCTGGGAAGATTTCACGGGCAATGGATCGTACAACTTCAGCTTGGTATTAATTCTGAGCATTTGCTTGGTAATTCAACTGAACTTCGAGATTTTTTTGGGATGTCTCAAAGATTCAAATCATCTAATACAGCATCCTTTGGAATTTGGCTACATCGTCCAGGTTGATATTGGAGGTGCTCGAAGGGGAAGATCAGGCTGGTGGGCCAGATCAGGGGGGGTGTTGCTCGTTTCGAACCCAAATGTATGGATTTCCCCTTCCCGTAGTGTTTGGATTTTGGTTTGAAAGGAGGGTCCCAGTACTGGTTAAAGGCGTTTGAGCAACCAGACTAGCGATTACTGGTTCTGCTGGAGATGATGTAACATTCGAGCTCAGGGTTGGGTCATCCAGATTAGTACTCTGGGTACGCAGAAGGGGGGGGGGGGTTGAGTTGGATCCGCAGATCCATGATGTAGGTCCATGATTTCACCTGTCCAGTTGCACTTGCACTTTGATTTGATGGGAGGGTTCTCGAGCCAGTTGCAACAGCTGGAAGAATTGGGTTGGTGATTGTTGGTTCAGCTCGAGGCATTGTAGCATTCGAGCTGAACTTGGCATTTTAGCTTGAGGGTTGATCTCTTTGGTGGTGACCAGTGTAGTTAATCTGTCTGATTTTGTGATTTTTAGATCTATTTTCTTTCTAACAAGCTTTAGATCAGGCTATTGTGTTATAGATATTTTTTTAATCTTATTCCACAGATGTTGCCAAAATATGAGCACTAAAACCCACACTAAGATTTTTATAATGCGAATGAATAGATTGGAAAAAGAATGGGTAAAAATTTCTTCATGAACCAATAAATATATAAATTAGATTATACTAATTTGAATAAGTATATGAATACAAGAATACGAGAATATGATAGCTTGTAGAATATAAATAATGAATTAGGTAAAAAAAAGTGGTCTCTCTATGAATTAGGTAAAAAACGTGCTCCTATTATATTTTCACCGTCAAATGTTACAATTGAGTTGCTGTTTTATTTGGCGAAATATAATTTTAACTTTTTGGCTTTACTTTTTTTATTTTTATGCATGTAACTCAAAAAGATGCTCTGTTTTGTAAATATAAATATTTTAAGTTATATGGATTTCAAATCAAAACTAATTAGTAATGAATAGATTGATCCATATCTTTTATATATTACTTATCTGATGTGAAATATATTTCCTAATATGTTCCTTAAGATAACCGTTACTTCGACAATTAATCTCGATAATGTTTGGACAAATATCAACGTACCATTTTAAATTGGGCTCTAATATCATGATAAAGTGATGAGAGTAAATTCAATATTCTTTCAAACATAAACTCTCATCACTTTATCAGAATAAACGTTTAAGTTATTTTAAAAAAAAACAATTATGCCTCTGCTTAGAAAGCGATCATGGGACACCCATAAATTCATGGCCTGGGAGCACTGCCATGATGTAATAATATATTATTGGCATAAGGTTTGTAATTGTTCTCACCAACAAAAAAAAATGAAAATCTTGTCTCACCAAACTTACATAAATCAAACAAAGTATATATATTAATATCTTTATGTATATTGATGCAAGCATGTCTTCTGATACGCATCTTGAAATAATTTATGTAGTTTGATGACATATAAATATATATATCCAAGCTTACACAGTTTCTGTGTTTTTTTTATATACACAGATGCAAGAGAAACAAATACTAGCACCGATTCAGGATACGGACGAAACTTTTTTCCGTCAAAACTCAGGAGAAAGAGAAAAGCAAGAGAACGTTTTGCAAATGACTAACCTCTTGATGGCGCAAGGAACTCTCCCCCTTTAGCAAATGACTCCTCCTGAGGAAGAACTCTCCCCTTTATCCCTTTAAGAAGGTCCACAAATTTTCATATGAAAATTCTTATCTTTAGCAACTTGTGATTTTGTCCATCTCCGGATCAGACTTTTCAACTCCATATGGTGTGGACCTTCTTAACCCGGAAACTACGTATTCTTGTCTATCCACACAAACCAAATTGGTGGACCTTCTTGACGCGGTAAACTCGTCTCCTCTTACAAACCTGACCTCTTTTACAAATTACATTAGGTTTAGGTCCACAACTTACACAGAATTTAGTAATATTTATTTTTTATGAAGAATACAGTAAGTGTTTCACTTGTTGCAAGAGAAAGAGAACAGATTACGATTGAATTCAAGTTGTTCTGCTTTGTAGATAACTTCGACAAAGAAACAGAAACAGAGTATGACTGAAAACTATTTTCATTAAGATAACAACAAACTTAAATACATAAAGAAACAAGGGTAATACCACTAACTAGCAAAAGACTGGTAGTCAATTAGGAATATAACAAGACCTATTTATAAGTTTAACATGAAATTAACTAACCATATATTCAGACTATTATATCCTCAAGTTTTTTATGCTATAAACATTTTCGTTCATCTAAAATTATTAATAAATATCTAAGTGTCTATCAAAAGTTAATAATTAAATAGCAGGACATAGATATGCCATCTTCTTCTGTTAATTAATATGTCTTGCCAATTCACTTGTGGGACACCATTTTCATCTTCCTTCGACATGCTTTCATCCTTTTCTGCCAACAATTTCTTGATTCTCTCTACCAACAATTTCTTGATATATATATGTATTCTCTCTCTTGAACTTCCTCTCCAAATCTCTTAACTTTTCTCTCTAGATCTTAACAATTTAGCAGATCTGGTGAGATTGCAAAAGAAACATGGTTAGAGGTGAAGAATCTTGCCCAACCTGATCTTTTATCAGACAATTTTTTTTGATTTAATGTCTAAATACTTAAGAGAACTCGGATCCATCTTCGGTAATCTCATTCTCTCTTTTAATTGTTTATGTAAACACACACTATTTAAAGATTTACATGTCTAAAAATAAAAAATTACGCATATTTTCATACATAATAATAAATACACATACATATAATAAAATGTATAGTTATATATTTTTTTAACATGTTAACTTATTTCTTTCTTCTTGTAAGCTATATCTATAATAAAAATAATAAACATTTAATAATATAAATAATGATAAATTAAATATAAAATATTATATATTTTAATAAAAATGAAGATTAAAAAATATTAACTAAGATTTTAAATATTTCTTTGGATAGAAAATGTAAATATGATAATTAAATAAACAGGAAAACATTAAAATATATAATAATATATTTAATTTTTATTTTTGACCCGTACTGTGTGCAAGTATAATTTTTTTATAGACATAATTAGTTGTAATATTTAAGTATTGATTAATTCATTATGTAAATGTTATGTTTTTATACATATACAATACCTAGTGTTCAACAACAATTACAAAACCATTTCATATCATTTTCTGTATTTTGAAAACTTTTTATTTTTCCTAGCGTTTACAGTAACATATAATTGCAAATATAAAAGTTATATTAAATAATAATTAAATTTTTATAATATGTTCTAAATATTATCTATATAATACATTCTTTTTATCTTTACATAATATAATTTTGCCAATATATATATTTTAAGTATACATTTTTCTTTGACCTATCCCCTATATATTAAAAGAAAAACATTTTTAAAGAATAACCTTATTTTGTAAGTATTTACAGTGGTACCATTATGCTGATGTGTCAACCCTATATTTATTCTCAGCTAATTTTTTTAAAAAAAATTAGATTACTAGACTAATTACATGATATGACATTGTATATTTTAGATTCATAGATATGTTATGTTTTATTTTTTAAAATGACTTCAAATACAATAATATTAGAATTAATAATTTAATAAAATAAATTTGTTTAATGCTAATTATAATATACACGAAATTTATTATATAATATTTTAAAAATATTATCCATATATATTTTATACTAAATTCATAATAAAATACATAATATTTTTCAATGTTTACTATTTTTATCATTCATAGCAAAATATATAATACTTTTAATGTTTACTACTTTTAAAAAAAATGTTTATTAATTATTCATAAAAAAATACCATGTTGTAATCTTTTTTTTTGTATTATTGGTAATAAAGAATAAAGGATTATTTTAATAATTTTTGATGGTACTATTTGGACATAAATTTATTTTATGTTACTTTTAGAACCAACAATTCAAATATGGGGCAGTTTAGAGAATTTTCTTAGGGTGTAATGTTATCCCCCGATTGAATAACAGTTGACTTTAAAAAACGTTGCTTACTCGAATCATGTTTCCGAGGAAATGCTATTCTTTGAAATAGGATCCAACTGTCTTGATTTGTTAGGAATTCTGGTTTAAACTTGTGATATGTTGTATCTCCACGTCCTGTGACACTCTCCTTTCGAGAAGTAAGTAGCACCTTCCAACCTGTAAAACATTTACAGTACTTATTTATTTATTAATATCCAAACATTTAGCATACTGAATGTAATTTGTTTTCATCATTCCTTTCATAAGAGGTTACATTTTTCTGATGGAAATATTAGCTTGATTTGCCGCCAGTCTTCTTCTTTCCATATGTCATCAAGGACAATCAATGAGTTTGATGTTTTCAACAATTCAAAGGGTTCACCCTGGAGTGTAGCTTCTGTCATCCCAAGGGTTTCACTCATTTCTCTAGGTGCAAGATTATGCAAGATTGTTTGCCACACAGATATATGGTTAAACTCTTATGAGACACACACCCATGCAAGTCCATCAAACTTATCTTTAACCATCTTGTGATTAAAAATTTGTCTAGCAAGGGTGGTTTTACCAAGACCACCCATCCTGGTGATGGAAACCACTTGAACGTTATTTTCTTTCACCATCATGTTAACCAGTTTCTTAGTATTTACTTCCAACCCCACAAGATCGCTTTCCGAGTCCCTAGAAAATGTTTGGTGTCTCTCCCTTTCTCTATCATGTCGTACAATAAACCCTCCATCGACAATAATCTTCTGTACTTTGAATTTTTCCATATTACTAATCACCTTAGAGATCCTCTTACTTATGCCTTCAATTTCTAATGCGATTTCCTTGCGTTCCGGAATAATGCAAGCAAGTCTTCTAATACGATTCTTGATGCCACTTGTTTTTCCGAGTTTGTCCTTGTGAAGAAAGGTATCAATAATGTCCTCTGCATCCCAAGTAATTTCTTTGATGTCTTCCACACATTTTCTCACCGTTGCACTTTTATGTTTCTTGGCGTCTGCATCTTTCAAAAATGAGCTTAACAAGTCAAAATCACTTTGTAGTTCAGTAATTTGATCTTTGACTCCCAGAAATCCCTGGTATTCTTCTCTCAACTTATTCAAAAGCAACTCCACTCCAAGGGACACAAGTATCTCAGCCATATTAGCTCCTGCTCAAGTAGTAAGAATATAAGAGTCATTCTACTATCAATGTACCGTGAAAATTGCAAGGAGTCACCATCAGAAGATTGAACTGGGGAAAACAAATCGAAACTGTGATATACTCTATAATTTAGAATTTTACTATAGTTTATAATATATTATTTTAGTATTTTTGTACATCGTTTTATGCTTTTACATGTATTTATTTTTGTATTTGTGATCTTTACATTCTTTACGGGTAAAATAATAAAAAGATGCAAAATGGTGCAAAAGAAGAGTAAACCACAAGCTAACATGTTTCCAACTCAAAAGCATCGACGCAAGATATGTGAACTTTCTCATTTGGATTGCATTGATGGATTGAGATGAAATTGAGCGACACTATATATATTTTTTATATGGAATCAGTCATTTGAAGATGCCTTCAATTTACTGAATACATGTTCGTCTGGTTCGTAAAGGAAAGGTCCAGAAAGAAAGCAGGCGCCAGCCCATATGCTCTGACAGCATATCATAGCTCGTTTGATAAATGATAACTAAATAGAAATAATTTAAAAACAAAATAACAGATGTCAACTCTTTAGATGCCACATGACAGCATATCATAGCTCGTTTTGAAATTTTTTTTTACTTTATTAGAATTAAATAGAAATAATTGAAAAAAATAAAATGACAGATATTAATTTTTTAGATGTCACATGGCAGCATATTAGAATTCGTTCTGAAAAAAAAATCTTACTTTATTAGAATATATACACTCTTAAAGAATAGAAAACAAAACAAAAAGTCTATAAAAACTCGCATACTATTAAAACTACCCTTCAAATTGATTTTTCAGCCTATTGGGTGAAACTGTAGAAGTGCATGATTTCAAGAGTTTAAATCCGTTTAATCGAATGGTTGACCAAAACGTTAATTCATATTTGGACAAGAAGAAGTCTGAGATTTGATTTTCAAAAAATGTGATTTCCCTTTATTATTTTTATTTTTAGTATAATTTAATTTGAGGTAGAAATAAAATTGAACCAGTTAAAAAGGATAAGTGTCTCATGAATTTGTAGAAAGTCACTCAAAATCTCTCATTTAAAATACTTTTTTTATTTCTTCTATTCTTTTTCTATTATTTTATTATCTCTCTATGTTCTGCTATTTTTTCAAAAAAACTCCATTGTAGGTATTCTTACTTTTGTATTAAAAAAATATACTATATAATTGAATTTATTGTTCATTTTTTAATTATATAAGCAAAAAGGTCCATTGATTTCCAAATTTAAACAAATACAATCACAAAATATTAAACTAGAACATCTTAATTAGGTTTGTGTTCTGTCATCATCTGTGATTGAGTTAATTTTTTTTTAAAAACGATAGTTGCCCACTTGGATAAATAGATAAAATAATTTTTTTTTGTTAGAGATAAATAAATGACTGATAACAATTCATGATAAATTATGATAGCAAAATCAAATTCATTATCAGACAACTGTTTTATGTGACAAGAGGCGTCAAGAGACCACATCTTCTTTGCATGCCCATACGCATATACGTTGCAGGACAAATCATGGTATGATACGCTTAATCATCTTTCCACAGTTACGCTCAACCAAAAGGATTATATATTGGTGTGTTTGGTCTTTCAAACAACGATATATATCATTTGTAGAAAAATAAACTCTCGAAGGCATCAACGAAGTTGGATGGCGCATCAACAACTATATAGGTACATTGACAAAGCTATCCGAATCGTGTCTCTCCTGTGTTCTCTATTCTTTTCCACATAAGTTCGACGCTGGTTTGAATTGCAGTGATTTAAAGGAAAATTTTGTCACTGTTCGTCTATTATCTCATTCTTTATCTCTTTATTAGAACATTCCTCTTTAAATAAATAAATTTGAAATTTCATCAAGAAACAAAAAAAAAAAACATTTCAATAAAATGTAGTTCAGAACTTCAATCTAACAAAACCATTGAGATCTACTCAGAGAGCTTTCTTCAAGTGAATTCTTGGCATAAGGTTTATTGATTTTTTTACCAAACTTAAAGAAGTCAAACAAAACCTATATACTGATAACTATCTTTATATATATATACAAGCTTACATAGTTTCAAGAGAGACAAAAAGTAGCAACGATCCAGGATATGGACAAGGTTTTACTGTCAAGACTCCAAGAGAGAGAGAGAGAGAAATTGAGATATAATTCACCGTAAACAAAGAAATATTCTATGTATAAAAGAGAAATTTGCTAACCTCTTAAAGGCGCGAAGAAACTCTCCCCTAGCTTTGTCGCCATTTAGGTAAAACAGAGAAGCTTTGCTCTTTACGTATCAGTTTATTAGGAAGAAGAGAGAAACTTGACTCCTCACTCTTTGATTCAGACTTTTCAACCCTCCAATTGATGGACTTAAATTCTTAATGCGCAAACTACTTTTCAACTATCTGTTTTCTTAATTGTAGCGTTAACTCGTTTGTCATAGAAAACAAATTATGACCTCCTTTTAAAATCCTCATTATGGTTTTTTCAGCAGATTACTCCGCTAATTCCATGTTTCTTTCATAATCTTCTTAATAAAATAATGTTATTACTGTGACGAGACTTAGTGCATGTTCATTAAACTTATATATAAATCTATATAACTCCTTTGCTATGAATTTATGACTTTCAAGACAAAACTAATTAGCAATGAGTTTATATTGACTAATATCTCTTATATAGCACGTCATGTCTCTTACAAATTTCTTATGTGTATTTCTAACCAATAAGAATTGTGGAAAAGAGTAAATGTCATTGTTCTAAGTTAATGAAATGTGAAACCATACAATTACAAACATTTCGAAAGGAGTACTACTTTATCTGGAAAGTATCACAAGGCACAAGCTTTTGTCTCTGGAAACTCAAGAAACGGAATCAATTTAATAGTAGTAGCGGCCAAACCAGGACTTGAACAGCATATAATATTGTGACATCAAAACATAAGTCAAATTTTATAACAAAATAGTCTATATTTTTAAAATCTAACAAAATAATCTAAAAACATATTCTAAGCAAACCTAAAACCAAATTTAAAGACCCAAAATTCTAAACTTTTTCGTCAACAAAATAAATTAGATTAAAACATTTCGGTAACCCCAACGGTGATACAAAAGCAAGACCCAAAATTTTACCCCAAAAAACTGGATTCTAAATCCAAAAATTGTGTATTTTTTTTCATAAGATTTAATCGATTTTGTTGTAAAAATGGAAAAGAATTAACCGATTTTACTTCTAATTTAAGTATTTTAGCTTTTTCTTAGTTGAATATCGTCGATCATAAAGACACGAAGAGAAAAGGAAGTGTTGACTGTTAATAATTTTAACAATAAATATAGAAGTGTGTTAACCGTTGAATGCTTTATGTCCGCGTTTAAATACAAAATATACGCGTTGGCCAAGGCAACTAATTTAACGTCTCAGTAACCTAGATTCCCTTCTCCATCAATTTTCAAATTATATCTATAAATCGCCAATCGTGAAATTTGGAAGCCAGGGCTGATGCAGTGATGCTACACTTTTAAATTTTAATCGGGTATGATTTTCTAGCAAAAGTCGGATGATTATCCAAATTATTTTAATCTAGAAAAATTAATTTTTACTGTCCCAATCAAAATATAAGTTAGTATAGGTGATCCCGATTAAGAAAACAAAAAAGTTACGTATACATGAAACAAAAATTTCAATTAATTATATCACAACGTAACTAACGTAGCCTTTTTCGAATTAAAAAACTAACGTAGACTTCGCCCGAATTTTTACTAGACGAGTCCGTACCACCAAGTCAACAAAACCATGTTCCACTCTTTTTCTTCAACACGCTAATTTTTTTTTCCTTTCTCAAAATTGACCTTAAATAATCTCTCTACCTACTTAAAACCATTTCATACACCAACCCATCATTATTACATCAAAACAAAAATAAAAACACAGGATGAGCAAGAGATCAGGACAAAAGCAGAACAGGTTCTTGAGAATCATTACCATGCCTCTAAAAGTTTTAGGCAAGGCTCGTGATCTCTACATGCGAAGCATCACAGGCTGCGCAGCTCGCACTCACTACTCCTCCGCTGACTCCGTTTCCATTCCCTTTCCGAGAAGCCGGAGCACTTCATCGGCCTTCTCCTCCTCCGCCTCTTCACGGAGGATGTCTTCCGATTTCACCTTCGACGATGACTACAGCGAGCTTCTCAGAGCTGCTTCCGTTAGGAGTTTGGGGCATAAGAACGAGATTGACATGATCATGCACCAACAGCTTCAGCAGCGGCAGCGTCAAGAAAATCGCGTCGCCGTGGGAGCGGTTACTGTTGCGGCGGCAAAAGGCGGTTTGCCGAAGAGCTCGAGTGTAGGGATGACAATGGCGAGGATTGATGAAGAAGATGAAGAAGAAGGATCAGTGAAGAATCAAAAGAAAGGATCTGATTTCTTATACCCTCGTAGCAGATCACATGCTGTTACTATCAGAGGATCCAGATTTTGATTTACTATAAGAAGTATGATATACGTTGGGGATTAAGGAGAAGAAAAGAAAATGATTGCGATGTATAGTAGTTCCTAGAATCCTTGTGCTATTTGATGGTTATGGATTTTTTTTTTTCTTTCATGTCAAGTTACTGTTATAGTTTTATACTAAAAAGTTACTAAGATTTTAAAACAAAAATTCCTACTTAATATAAAGTTTCAACACTTTTTTTTGGAAAAGAATCTAAAAATTAGTTTTGCTTTTAAGATGTTTTTCTTGGAAAAGGTGGACCACCAGAATCGAATTACAGGTCTATAGAAAATAGTAGTACATTTTTAGGGAAGCGTATGCAATTTAAATATAGTAGTATACTCTAGTTTCGATATACATATTTAAATATAGTTTACTATGAAGTATGAATGATACGTTTTAACCCCCCCAAAAGAGAGTGAATGATACGAGTTTTTATATTAGGAAATACATGATGATTGGTAAAGTTACGAACTCGTTCTTGTAACCTTATCACGGAAAGCCGATGAATTGTTGAATTCTTGTTTACAAATGTATACACTTGTTTCGTGTTTCTGGTTGCACTTTTTATATACTTCAGTACTGAATTGTTTGTTTACACATACATACACTCGTGTCTTCATGTGTTCTGTTTGCACACTTAAAGAAATAACTTATCTTCTTCTGCCACTTAATTAATACAGCAGACCAACATATTTTGTGGGTGTGTCACACTATTGATTGTTCTTCAGAAACATTAATTTCTCTCTTTGTCTTCTCTGTGGCTTAAGTCATATGTTCACGGTTCATCAGACTTTTTTGTCGCATTAATAAAATGAAACTACCAACTTAATTTCATAAATTCATTTACTGACTACCTGCATATTCCGTGTTAGAATTGCCGACTTGGTGAGACTTCTTATTTCTGGCTTCATCTGAATTCTAAATATGTAATAGCCTAATAGGTAAGTAACTAGTAGCTACAATATCAACAAAAGAAAACAATAGAACTTCACTAATTTATTATTATTGACATCCAAATTGATATTCAAACTATCTAAATTTCAAAAAAACTATGACCCGAATATCCGAATGCCAAAACGTAATTGCAAATACGTAATGACTGATAAGCAATCAAGTAAAGCTTGCTATAAGAAGTTATTTTTTTTACTTTAGTTTTATGACTTTACAAATTGTTATTCGCCCATAAAGACTTATATATGTATGTATAAGCTATCAAATACCATAATTTAATATCTGCCCGATTCGGTGTAATGTCCCAAGTCACCCAAATTTCTTTAACAAATTATTTTTTCTGGTAGTGTTTCTTTAACAAATTATTATTGCATGATATAGCAGAGATTAGTACAAAAAAAAAAAAGATATAGCAGAAATTTGGGTACGTTACGTAAAAGAATGATATACCACTAGTAAACTAAGATACAACCGTCACAACCTGTTAAACAGAGACAATCCTCGCAATTTTTGTTACTTTTATACTAACACAACAAAAAAATCACCAGATGCAATTCCACAACATTCACCTCTTCTTCATTTTTTTTCTTTTGAATGGCATTTATTGTGACAGAAGAATCAATTGAAACTATGAACATATCGTTTCTCCACTAACCGGTGGAGCTCTGTAGTAAGCAGGCACAGTTGCTGGGAAAAACATCTGCCTAACTCCTTCCGCCTTTATTATCGGAAATATTATCCCCGACGCTCCCTGCGATTTTCGCTTTTACGCGTTTAAGATCTTGTGCCAAGAAAGATTTAACTAAATTGAATAATGTGATTGATTTTCATACCGAGATCAATTTGGCTCCAAGCCAAATGCGTTTTGGTGAAGGGAATGGGATACACAACCGTATGACTCCATAAACCGCAACCGCAAAGAAATGGCAGACGAGAGTCAAAGGTCTCGGGTTCAAACCCGAAAGCAGAGATACTGGTCCGCTTGTGCACATTCCTCCAAGACTCAGATAATCGAAGCAGGCTTCTCTCATCTCGTTTCTTGCTTCGTCTTTAGATGCACAAAAGACTTTGTAAAGAGCGTTCGCGAGTGTGTTGATTGTTGATGCCACTGGCTGCAACAGTGATATGATTTTACAAAACACTAATTTACACATGCACAACAATAAAACTTAATGTTGATGTGTTTTACCTTCCGCAGAGTGTAAAATGATTCGAGATATTTGCAGAGACTGGAACCGTCACTAAGGTCACGGAGCGGTCTAAGAAGATTCCGCAGGACAACGATATCAGATAATGCAACAGTCATGCCTCCACCTGTTAGAGGATGACGCATGTTGAATGCATCTCCCATTAACAAAGCTCCTGGAGTAGGGTAAGGAGAAGCAGGCATGCTTCTGTTTGGCATGGACTTGATGTTTCCTTTATCGATTGCAGCAATGAAAGAGTCATAGACTTCAGGAGGCATCTAAGAACAGAGAGAAAGAAAGAGAACTTTTACCAACGAAGAAAAAGAAAATAACCATGAAAAGGAAGTGCATAGAGTGAGAAAGTTATTCATACCTGAGGAGCCACAACAGTTTTCAAATACTTTTCCATTTCACCATTGGCAATGGAAGGCACTTTTTGACCGGGAACATCGACTAGACACCGGACCTCTGTGCTACTAATTGGATACATTAGAATTGGTGATGGATCTGCTAAGACGACATGTCCATGGTTTGCATATGGGAGATTGCAGTTCTCTAGGACCAACCCGACGAAACAAGAAGGTACCTCGACCTGCATGAAGATAGTACAGACATATAATACTTACTTGTGAAGCTAATGCAGTTCTAATATAAGAAAACAAAGAACAATAATAAACAGCAAGTTACCTGAGGATTGCATAGAGAGCGACGCAGGTTTGAGAAACATCCGTCACAAACTACAGTCAAAGCTGCAAACGCTGTTAGTTCCTCCCCTGCTTTGTTCTTATATCTCACACCTTTGATTGTACCATTTTCTTCTAGAAGAGAAACAACTGTTCCCTGCTCTAGCTGAACACTGTTGATAATATCAGCAAATACATCCATTAGCAGTGCACAAGAGTGGCTACCGTATAGGCTTACTATCAAAATCTACTGCATCATATAAAAAACTGATCAGTAATTCAATCACCCAAGATCAAGTTAAGAAATATATAAATCAGTGATTCAAACAATGTGCTATGCAACTTCATTTAGTTTTAACATAAACTAATACTATTTCTGAAACCGGAAGCAACGCCTAGAAACATTAATAACGGGAAAAACGTACATTGCATCATATCAAAAGCAGAACACTGATTCAAAGAATATTTTATGCATCATCACTTAGTTTTAACATAAACTAATACTATTTCAACACCATGGAATTTTCTAGCAAGTCTAAGCAGAGCAAGCAAAAGGATTTATGGCCTTAACATCTGGAGGCATTTATAAAAAAAAAAGATCGTACTTGGGAAGTGAAGCAGCTTTCTCTCGCATTCTTTGAATAAAGCGACCATTGTGAAAGCTCCTTCCAGATACATCTTCGTGAAACTCCTCCAAGGGATAAGCTAAGCGAATTCGTTTCCCATTCTTAAAAAGTGCATAACCATACACACGCTGCGCATCTATCTCCTCCACGCAATCTGTAGATACCAGCCTTGATATCATTTACTAGAACACAACTTAAAGAACAAAATATATGACATGGTCCTCAACTAAATCTTTGCTTACCTTCAATTCCCAATTCCAGTAACTTGAGGTAGCCACCAGGTTGTAACAGCTCCCCAACAATGCGATCTGGCTCAGATAAATCTCTTTCAATCACGTGAACTCTGCGTTTATCCTACAAACGTCAAATCCCAAAAACAATGTGCAAATTAGCAGTTGTTGCTTCAAAGTGAACTTTCACAATGTGAAGCATTAGATTTCATTCTACCATGGCCAACAAAAGTGCCTTGACAGCATATACAGCTAATTTTCAAACTGATTGGCTTCTCAATTCCACATTTCGATAGCTTAATGTATGGTCTTACAGTCAAAGAAGGACAATAAAATCTTTAATATTTCTGGAAAATTAAAGCTCAAACAATGTTTGTTGACCATTGCTAAACTCGAGAGCTCGTGAATATTCCGGAAATAATCTCAGAATCCTAAACTTGAACTATGACTATTGCTCTATTGCAGCGTCTTCAATCAATTCACAAACGGGGAATCGAAACTCGCTTTGACTAAGCATAAACTAAAATTTCTTAAACTGAATTAACTCCTCGAAACCATCACAACCTAATTTGGATCCTTAAGCTCTCAAATCAGGAACAGGGAAAAGGGAAAAATGACCTTTCCAAGAGTGTAAGCCAGAGCAGAACCAGCGACTCCGGCTCCAACAACAATGACATCGGCAACGGTATCTCCGCCGTTAGTATTCAGAGATCCGACGGTTGAGGTGACGGTAGAGACGGTCCGATCGTTATGGATCCTCGAGGTTGTAGGGTCTTCTAGTCTACTGTTCCGGCTCGGCTTCATGAAAAAGCCATAGAAAGCGAAGACGGAGATCAAAAGACAAGCTGAGATCACGAGAGCCGAGAGCCAATGCAATAACTGAGGCTCCATCATTGTTGCCTTTTACAGAGAAATTTCGATTTCTCTGCGGAAAGAACGAGAAAGGAGCTGTTTTATCTCTCTCTCTCTCTCTCTCTCTCTCTCTCTCTCTCACGAGACTTCGCTTGTTGTTTTCTATTTTATTTGATTTTTTTTTTATAACTTTTACGCAAATTCCAAGTTAATTTACGCTGGCGATTTGGTAGCGACATCCTATTTGAAAAAATTGTGCTGGCAATCTCAATCTAAGAGTAAAGACCAAACAAAACAAAAAGGGAATTATAATCTATAGTCCCAACTAATAAGTAAAAAAAAATATAGAATAAATAAAAAAAATTAAATTATATGTTTATATATTATTTTGTATTTACCGTAGAGAATGGTGACTTGCTTTATTTAATACAATTTTAATAAATAATTATTTGATTATTATACTAACAAATATAACATCATAATAACAATTGAATATCAAATTAACTAATATAACGTTCAATCATATTGTGCAAACATCAAGTTAATCAATTATCATATAATAAAAAAATAAAGAGGTTAACAATGTTACTATATACAAAAATTATCGTATTAACCTTGCGAGCATGATAATTATCGTGTTAATATTGTTATCATTTCATATGAGTTAACTTTATTAACTATATAAATTATGCGAAATTATGTTGATAACTACTTAATTAACCGTCATCAGCAATTATTGCTAACGTCATTATTAGCATCGTCCATCATCTTCCCTATCATCTTTCACCACAACCACCACCTCCTCTACCATCGTTAGTCATCACAACCATCATTGTTGCCACCACCACCGTCATCACCACCACCACTATTTTCTATCATCGTCGTTTATCATCATCTTCAACCACTATCACCACCATCTTCAAAATTTATATAAGAGAGCAAGACACACACAAAACAAATTTCGTGAATAAATTGGAAACATGCAAGAGGAAGATCTTGCGTTAAGGAGCAAAAAAAATAGTCATGGCGGAAAGAGATGAGGAGAGAAAAAAAATTGTTGTGTTTTGTAAAGATAAGGAAAGAAAAATTTAAAGGTTATAAATGTAATTTAGAGTTGAATAGTATTTATCATAAAGTTTGCTTTTATATCGGTTAATTTCTTCATTATCTGAGTTTATACATGATGTTGAGGTTTTTAAGCCTTAACTCAATCCTTAAACACATATGTCATTGTAGTACTTGAAGTGTCAATCCAATCCAAAGGCTAAGGAATATATGAGATGCAGAAGACTTGCTAAGCTAGACCTAATCAAAAGAAGGGAAGTCTAATCTAATAACCTAAAACAAGAAATGTAAACTAGAAAACCGAGATTCAAGACTAATGAATAACAAGGTGAATCTAAAAACATGATCAAGGTGAAAGAAACAATCAATGCATTTATCTTTAGGCAAGGACTACTGATATAGACTAGCTGAATCCCTCAGCACTAATCTCTTATCTAATCACATATTCAAGATAAATTCCTTTACTCAAACACATGATCATCAAGCATGAATGTCAAAGTCCATAGAGACAAAAAGCATGCTAGACATCTAGTTTCCTATGCAAGGTTTACTAATCTCTTGTGCAATAGAACTAACATTAGCTCACACTCTCATGCATAATCAATGCCTAAAGAAAAATTTCCCACCAATGTGGTGTTATGAACTTAAGAACAAGCTATGCAAGACATGACATCAACCATAACTTCTTTCAAGCATTTCAGCAAATACCTTAAGTGCAATACTAGAAAGCCTAGGATCTACTTATCCTACAAAGAGGTACTAAGCATGAAGAACAGTCACACAAGAAGAGATAATCAAAGATCCAACATTCTAGCACCTTAACAATCATTAGAAACACTTTTGTTCTTCAAAAACCAAGAATCTCCAAAACTGAAGACCACAAATTCGAAAATAATAAAGGCAATAACAAAGGAAAAACAAGACTAGAAGATGAAAGATTTAAGATTAAAAGATGAAATACATAAAAAAAAAGTATATACAATGATCTAATCTCAACCCACAAAGGATTTGTTCTTATTCTATGAAAAACCAAAGCAGAGCTTTGAGGAAGAGAAATGATAAAAGAAAATAGATATAAATTTAGCTATTTATAGGAGACATCCTAAAATAGCCTTAGGAAGAAAAAATAAAAAAAGTCAAAGATGGTCAAAGATGGTTCTCGGACCAAACCCATCGATTAGAAGGAAGGAGGTGATGCTCGATGTGAACTCCTGGTTGCGGACAGTGATGCTTGAACCGCCGTATCTTTTGAGCTACTGATCGTATTGACCTCATCCAACCTCCGTTGGAAATATTATTCGATCCTCTACAACTTCTATGAAGGACTTGAAGGCTGAATCGCACCGGGAGACCTTCTTTTCGACCCATACATTTTATATTGACATGCATATCGAGCAAGTTTCTCTTAGCTTTGGTCGATACAGGACTTTGGTGCATTCTAAAACCCGTCATCTTCATGTCCACATCATCCACCATTCTCCAAGTGTCCTCTATAGCTCCATGTAGACCTGAAAAAGTCTCCAAACCATGCAAAATATGCAATGCCTATTCTAAAACCTAACATGTCTAATATGAATGCAAATGGAGCAAAACATGATGAATGAATGCATAAAAAAACAAAACCTAAACTAAATGTATGCTAAAACGTGGTAAATAATGAGGTTATCAATACATTGCAATTACTCAAACAAAAATTAACACATTTATTTCCATTTATTAATCCTGTTGATTTGTCTGGTTATAAGACCAACCCTATGGATTTTTTTTTTATATGATATTTCAAAATTTAGATAATGAAAAAAATTGATAACGAGAAAAGAGAGTGAAAATCGCTTCTCTTTGAAAATGCAAAAAGTAAAATCTGAGATACTTTCCCATGTAATATCACTTTATTATTAATTATAATTGTTTTTCCAGTATGTTCCCTCTATGATCCAAGGGTGAAAAGCTAAATGCATGCAATATTACTTCTAGATGCAAATGAGACTAAAATGCTAAGTAAAGATGCAAAAACAAAGAAAAATATGTATGAAATGCAGCCTAAATCACTAGAATATAGCAGGGTAACCTTGCAAGCTAACACATAAATAAACTGGATCTGATGGTAATGAAAAGATATGATTGATTTGTTGGAATTTGATTCGGTTTGGGGGAAAAAGGGGAAAGAGTGAATGATGGAAGTAGACAAGAGATGCGGATGGCTCTTGTATACAACTGATAGAAGCAAAGGATATGACACACCAATAATTCAATCAGGTTTTCTCAAGGATATTACACACTGTAAGAGATTTTATTCAAAAGATAGATAAACTAAACTCTTCTCTCATACACGGTTTTAAGGAGAGAAGAGGGACACAAAATAAAGACAAGCATTAAGTTAGTCTCGGGACAAACCCCCTTGATAGCCATGCAAAGGCTTAGTTCAAAAACAAACCAACAAAAGAAACAAGACAGGAAAACGGCTAAGTACAAACTAACTCTGGACCTTCCAAACCACGGATGGTAGAAAGAAGTGGGCTTGGAGAAGAGACAAACTAAATGGACAATGAAATTGTGGGAACACTTGCCTCGTTAAAAACCTTAGTGAGAAAACCCAATGGGACAAAACTCACTAAGGGAAAAAGAGCACAAAATGTCCCACAAACCCATTAGCTTAGTCATTGGCTTTTATACAAACCAATACGGTAAGTTTAGCCTTTTCATAACTTGATTCATACTTAAATTGATTAAGTAGAATCTTTAAGGCATTTTGAAATGCATTAGTCTTAGACCGGGTCATGGGACCTCTTAGAGTATCTAGATCCTTTCCATCTTCAAGCTTAGTCCTCTCTTGTTCCTCCTCGGCTACAAACTTTAAATCTGAGCTAGAGTCTTCCATGATCATATCAACCCCTCCTTCTTGAAAAGGATTTTACCTCAATTCCGACTCATCTACAACATAAGGGAGCAGATAAGTAACATTAAAGCTTTAACTTATTGAATACTTACCTTGAAGATCAAGTTGATAGGCCTTGTCATTGATTCGCCTTGTGATTGTGAAAGGACCATCAATCCTTGGCATTAGTTTGGATTTTATTTCTGCTGGAAAGCATTCCTTTCTCAAATGAACCCATACTTGAACACCAGCCTCAAAAACCATTTTGTTTCTTCCTTTATTCGTATGCTTAGCATAAAGCTTTGTCTTCTCTTCTAAGTTCTTCTTAGCATCCGAATGTATGAGCTGTATCACCTCGGCCTTTTTTTTTTCATCCATAGTAACCCATTCACTCAAAGGTGAAGGCATTAAATCTAAAGGAGAGGTGGGATTAAACCCATAAACAATTTGAAATGGTGAGTACTTAGAAGCAGAATGCACGACATGGTTATATGTAAACTCTATATGAGGTAAACATTCGTCCCAAGACTTAAGCTTCTTTTTAACCAAAGCTCTCAAAAATGTACGTAAGGTCCTATTTACTACCTCTGTTTGACCATCAGTTTGCGGATGACAAGTAGTAGAAAACATCAACTTAGTTCCTAGCTTAGACCATACTGTTTTCCAAAAGAAGCTAAGGTACTTAGTGTCTCTATCTGAAACGATGGACTTAGGCATACCATGAATGCGAACTATCTCCTTAAAGAGAAGATTGGCTATATGTAATGCATCACCAGTCTTAAGACAAGCAATATAATGAGCCATATTAGAAAATCTATCTACAACTACAAAGATAGAATCCTTACATGCTTTAGTTCTAGGCAATCTTAAAACAAAGTCCATTGATATATCATGCCAAGGATGAGATGGAATTGGTAAAAGAAAAATACAAACCATGATTTTGTACTTTGAATTTGGCTTGTTTACAAGTGTTGCAACTCCCACATATTCTCTCAACGTCACATTTCATATGTGGCCAGTAAAAATGGTCTTCATTACTTCTAAGGTTTTGGCGATGACAAAGTGTTCCATTAAGTCTCCATCATGTGCTTCTCTGACAAACAAATCC